AGTCCAAAGTCCTTCGACAATAGTCAATGCTCCATATTATGTCACGAACAAGACCCTACACCATGACCTTAACATCCCATATGTCAATGACATCATCCCATCCAGATTCTCCAACTTTCACCAGAATCTTATTCATCATCCCAATCCTCTAGCGCAATCCCTATCCAGCTCCGAGCATCCATACCATCCCCCTCGAAGGTTGAAACGGCAGTGGCCTCGGGATCTTTTGTAAATACGCCTTTGGAGTCCTGGCAATGGCCAGCTTCTCCACTCATGTCCTGAGCGTCTGTGGCTCTAGTGCCCTCTTTCACCCTCCACTGGCTTCTAATACTAGTGATGCGGCTGGAAAAGTGGCACTGGGATCTTTCAAAGTCTTGCTTTGCCTTCCACATGCGGGAAAAAAAGCCTGGCTCGGAGATTCTTGGGCGAATGTATATATTGTATATAGTTATGATTGTGTTTAGAAGTTTTTATTTTATTTGTTTATTTTTTTTTCTTTTTAATTACCTTCTTCATCAGTATTATTTATTTACCTCTTAAATTTATATTTATTTCTTTATTATTTGTATATATTGTATGAATGAGAACTTTTAGCCCTAATGCTTATAGCCCTCCAGCAGTGGCTGATTGTATTATTATTCAATAAATAGATTTTTTTTAAATAATAATAATATTTATGATTTGTTAGCTGCAATATTTTAGCTTTAGCTCAGTTAAAAATGCAATTCAAAAATTTTATAATAGCACAACATGGCCAGAAAATAATTTCTATTCAAAGTTGAGCGGTAAGTGAAAATTGTGCGCACCAGATTTTTTTTCTTCTGTTGACTACAGACCATTGGCTGGCTAAACTAGCCTTCTCTACTTCTGCCTATCTTGGGCTAGTGCTTTCCAGTTTTCTCCATGGAATTGTGCCAATTACTTTGTCTTATTTCTTTACCACATGCCTCAATATTCGTCCGTCAACCCTTCGATGTCCGTGCAACGGTTTTGCCAATAGTGGTCTCGGAATCGCACATTTTCTTCTATTTATTTTTAGAAGGGCCAAAGATCCGTCGAAGAACTTTTCCCTTAAAATGTTTCTAGTTCTCTGCCTTTGTCGTAGTGTAGGTTTCCGTTATGTTAATTAGCATAGGGCTCATTAGGGTTGTCGAGGTATGTGTGCAGAGGTAGTAAGATACCAGAAGGCCTCAACAATGCGTGTTCAGTTAAGAGGAGTAAAGATGACCGATTGGATGTAGGAAGGTGTATAGATGGATGACCTCGAGTGACAGGCGGATCAGCACCTAATCACTCTCGGACCAGCGGTGTAAGAGATTAAGCTTAACACTCCGCAAGGATGGTAACCACAACCGGAGGGGTCAAACTCCAGACTCGTGAGAGGATGAGATAATGACGGAGGGATCAATCTTCCGAATCAGTATATAGGACTGCAAGTGGACAGACCAGCGCCCAACTTGCATGAAGTTAAAGAAGAGAATAAAGGTTTTAGGATATAGTGAAAAAGAAGAGCAGACTTAGTTGAACTAAAAGCGTATATGATACATATACTGACCGTCTGCATGAGGGTACTACACCCTTAAGGGGTGGAGATTCGAATACCTAACAACTTATAATAGAGTTCAGAAAGTAAATTTACACCGTCTACACAAAAACATAAATAAATAAAGTAATAATAAAAGAATACATAAAAATAAGAACAAAACAATTTATAATAAGGGGAGTGAGAAAAAAATATATATATATATAGATAGATAGATAGAAAAATAATTTTATTCTGGGACACAGTCCCTTGAGAAGAACAAAATAGAACAAAATTAAAAGATCACATCTGGCCAAAATAAAATCAATCGAAAAAAAGAAATAATGTAAAAAAAATATAAGGTAAACATTCTATATAAAAAAAAACGAAACTATATACAAAACAATTAATACTATGACAAGGCACTTAAAGCTATTTGCACTAGAAAATAATAATAATAAGAAGAAGAAGAAGAAGAAAATAATAAAGAATTAAAAAATAAAAATGTATCATTGAATCAATCAATGAATTTGTATGTATCAAATTCTCTATTAAAATCAGCTCGAATGGTTAGCAACTATCTGACTGTTCTTGGGATAGGAATTGGAATAGGAGGGTTTTGAATTTGGATATGGATGGGGAATGTCGAATTTTGATAGGGAGGTAATTCCAGAAATTGACAGAGCGAACAACAAAGGAATTTTGGAATAAGGCAGATCTGTGAGAAGGCATGTAAAGATTAGAAGGTCGAGATCTTGTGGACAGGGAATGGACTGAGGATTTGAACTGGAGAAGATTGTAGGCGTAAGAAGGACGATGGCTGTTGATGATTTGGTAGAGGAACGTACCTAGGAAATATTGTCTTCGGAAGGAGGGGAAAAGCCACTTTAACTCAGCATAGTGGTGAGAAACATGGGAGTATCTTGGGGCCCCGGTCACAAATCGTACACAGCTGTTCATTAGTCTTTTCAGTCTATCACGGAGCTCCACAGAGAGGCCATCATACACCACACAGCTATAGTCAAAGTGGGGAAAAATGAGAGAGGAAACTAGGAGTCTACGCGTATGTTGAGGTAGGAGATGTCGGAAGCGATGGAATAGTTTGAGGGTGGAAATTGTCCGTCGAGAGATATGAGAAATATGGTGATTCCAAAGGAGGTTTTGATCAATGAAAAATCCTAAGTTTTTAACAGAGGAGTAGAAGGAGATTGGCTGGTCATTAAGGTGAAGGATGGGAAAGTCTGGATGGGATCTAAGAAGGGGCTTGGAAGCAATGACAATGGCCTGAGTTTTGGCGGCATTTAACCTTAATCCATTTACATTTGCCCAGGCATGTATATACATAAGTAAGTAAAAATAAAAATAATCCTCTTAGATACAAGCATACCTATATGCACTATTTACAATCAGCCAGGGAAACTCCGAAACAATCTTGTTTCACTTAGGCTTAGGAGATCCCTGCGCTTCTCCCTCAAACACTGATACTTAAAACCAGCGGAGGATGAGTAAGAGAGCTACAGCCTCAGACACTCATGACTTGAGTGGAGAATCTGGCCATTGCTAGAACTCCAATATATCCATATTTACAAAAGGTCTCGGGGCGACTGCCGCTTTAACCTAAGAGGGGTTTTGTATCGATGGCTGGTGCTTGATAGGGATTGTACTACGGCATTTGAGTGAACTCAAAAAAAGCGATTGGAGAGATATGATCGGAATATTAGGTATAAGGACTGTGGTAAGTAGAATTTAATCTGGCGTACCATACTCGGCCAAAAGCTTGCTTTTTGTCCAGAAATGCACCTCAGCAATAGTGCTTGCGTTCTAGGGTTGAGAATATATGGTCAACAAACTCGGAATCCTCGTTGGACAGTGGAATGTTGGGAACGGAATCCGAATTTATAGGTAGGAAAGATTACAGGATTCTATTATAGGTAGGATTCTTTTCAGTAGAAGCTTTTCAAAATTTTTTGAGAAGATTTGGAGTAGGCTAATTGGTCAATAGAATGCTGTATTGTTGTAAGGTTTGTCTGGTTTCAAGAAAAGGATGATGGCGAAAAGTTTCCATAAGAGAGGGAAGTGGGTAGTTGGAAGGATGCAATTGTATATATATGTGAGCAATATGAACGCTTTGGATGGTAGATGTCGAAGGATCTGTGGGGTTAGAAGGTCATATCAAGGTCATATATTGAGCCGTTGGCGTCACCGACACACCCAAATTGTCAAAATAACGAGGTTATATATGCCAAACAGCCCAATATTTTTGTAGGCCACATTTTTTATCGATTTTGTTCTCAAACTATCTAATGATCAAAGTGGAAATCAAAAGGGTATTTACGAGTTTTAGTACCTAATTTTTTACTATACAATCTGCCACAATCAAGGGCATTAGAGTACCTAATTAAATGGAGAAAGTTTGCCAACCTCCAGCTTGAAAACGCCCCAATTCAGAGAACTCTTGTAAATAGAATATTTGTAGATTATGATGAGATGAAACTACTTACAAAATTAGTACAAGTTAGTAATTTCATAAAAAGGGGTCTGTACCACGGACTATAAGTTATGAAAATAAATTGTTGATTCTTGAAAAATTTAAAAGGATCAAATAATTGAATTAAATAAAAAATATTTTAATTTTAAAAACTATACATCTTAAGTTAAGGAATGGAAAATGAAGCATATCTACATAAAAAATATTAATGGATTGTTACTGTCCATGAATATTGAAATTTGGTGTAGTCCAGGTGCCTTCCATGCAGATTACAGATCTTTCAGTTCCATACATCATGCATGCCAATAATCAGGAAGCTTCTGGAATGTTATAGGTGTGTAAACACACAGAAGATAAATTAATGAATTGTCAGAAGAGTTTATTGTTTCGTTTTGGTTGGTAAAGAAGGCACACAATTACTTCACCAATTTCAATATTTATAGACACTAAGGCCTGTCCCTAATGAACCCAGGACAGGACCCAGTTCTGAGCCATCCCAGCTCAATATCTGACAATTTCTGATCGAAGCTGTAAAGTGATTTAAATAAGTATTTATTCAGACCTTCAAATAAATAATTTTATTTAAATACTTCACTTTAAAAACTTCACTAAATAAATCTCTTTATTTAAATAAGAATATATAAATAAAGTTCATCGTATGAATTACTTAACAAACACTTTTATTTAAAAGAGAATTCTAAGTAATAATAAAATTATCTCATGTACTATAAAATCAACTACGTCACCATTAATGAGAAAAATATTGTTTTCATTAAACGTTTCTTCCATATTTCGGTCCATGTGGTAGTATTCGAGGACAGTCTATTGCCTATCGATTTGTAATTTATTAATTTTAAAGTAATTCAGTTAATTTTAACTTTAACACGAACAAACAATACCTATATTGTTTTTCAAATAATTTTTATTTAAGTAACAAGTAACAAATACAATTTTATACGCTATTCCACACTTTTATATTTATATATATTATTTTTGAGAAATTGTTCAATTCCATCAGCCTTTGCGGAAATTTCACTCCCTAGTACGCCCAAAATACAAATTTTTCATTCGTTTTTCATCTTATATTTCGTCAACCAGTGAATCAATTATAGCAGTTTCATGCATTTTTTTAACGATTTGGAGATAAGCAAAGAGGAAAACGAGTTTGAATGATGTTCCTACTTTTCATTTTAGAATATTTGAGGAAAGGAACAGGAGCCACAGAAGGTAGGCACAGAGACTTGCTTTAAGACTTGTAAAAGCAAGTCCTATTTTGCCAGTAAAATATTTTAATTGTCATAGTAGGATGGAATTACACTGGATATATATTAATTATTTATAGATAGATGATAACTCAATGTAACTTATATGGAACTTAAACTAGAAAAACTAATAGTTAAAAACTGAGGTGAATTAGAATTACAATAAATAAGAATAAGAGTCGACTTTCATTATGACTGCTTTTACGTCATTCAAGAACTTTATCAAGTCATGGGCATTATCTTTATTCATCAACCGAAGAAAGTTAGCTCCAGAAAACTGTGTTGTGAACACAAACGATATACATCATTTGTGGGGTTATTTTTTAAATTAAAAGTATTTTTTTATTTTTCATTCAATAATACAAAATAACACATTATTATCAAAAATTTGTCATTAATTTTTCGTCACTCTACTCTCTATGAACTCCTATGACTTCATTTATATATTAAATACAATGTTGTATAAAATTCTAAGCTTTCTAACAATATATTTTGTCTCTTATTTCCAAAACTTCGTTTCCAACCTTGACATTTTGTTTTTCTTTTTTTCTCTTTCGGTTAATTATCAGATTAATACATATTTAAAACATTGCTTCATTTATGACTGTACCTCTCACCATTACTTTGGTTCTAGTTAATTGAATTTCTATTATAATAATTTTCATCACATCCATCGATTATTGGAAATATTTTGCAAGGTGATATCATAAATAGGAAATAAAATCAATTTTTTAAAAATAATAATCCAACATCAAAATTTTAAAATTAAACTCTGTCATCAAAATTTTATTCGGTAAGCATTTTCAAATCTATCTATATACATATTTACAAAAATATGAAAAAAAAAAAAAGTAAAAATTATAATTTACACAATAAACAATCACTTAAAAACTAATAAGAAATATTTACTTATTTATTTACTACCTAGTTAAAATATGAACACATATGAACACACTGCCTTGATCAAACAGCCTATAAATAAGGTTACAATTACGGATTTTTTTCAAATGGATACAAAATTCAGAAAAGTAATTATTATAAAAAGGTAAATGTCACTATAAAAAACCACAATATATAATTGGTTAGTCACAAAAAACCATCAAGTATTGTTTCATAAAATTAAACCAATAAGTACTTTGATGAATTTTCCCGCTGTGAAATCAGAATATTCTCCCCTGAGTGTAACAAATTTTGATACATAAAATGGCTTGTTTTGCCATGATAGACGTACTGCTTTTGCATCAATAAATAACATCAAAATTTTCTAAAGCGTACTTAAAAGTTTAGCTCCATCAAAAATATACTTGCTGATTATTTGCAATAAACAAACAATCTACATGTTTTGCAAAATTATGTATACTTAATTTATAAACATAGCAATAACAAATCCATTAGAAACTGATTCATTAAACAACCTTTTTTAAAATATGTTTTTGAAATATCTCTAAAAACCGGTAAAAACTTTTCATTTTTGATTAAAATGAATCAATTCTTCTGATAACAGAAACCACCAAAGCTTGTTAGAAACAATCTAAATATAACATTTATCACATAGAAATAATGCATTGGTAATTTTACAAATGATATAAGGAATTTCTCAGAAGAAAAAGCCAAACTTCAGAGAAGGGTCATTGTAACAAAACAATTAATTTTAAATTGTATTCTTACAGAGAACATCAAACCTAGTTTAATTTATGGTAAAACAGTACTTCACTTTTTTTAATACATGCAGCTGTTAAAATTCACACTTTTTAGTATAAGCCCACCAAAAGTAGGTAATAAGTTACTGGAGTCTTTTTTGGTAGGAACAGCACTCCAGTTACAGGTACTCGTTATTAATGCCGCAATCAAATTGAGAAACTGAATTTTGCCTCACTTTGGCATATGAATTTGGATCAAAATGGGAGCAGGCCTGCCCGCTCGGTTAGCTATCCTGGTGAGCGAATCCTAATTAAATTTGTGTTAAAATAATTAAGTTACAAAAATTGGATGCGCCGCTGAGATAGGGTTGCCCTAAGGTACAACGGGGGGAAAGGACATAAAAAAAAGATAGGTTATAGGCATAAAAAAGATATTACGCTATTTTTAAAATGTTTTTTATGTTTTATGATTTTTATAATAATTTGAATGGGTTTTTTTTAAAAACGTTTACAGTATTTAATAAAAAATAATCATTGAAATCGTACAATTTGGTACAAAGATATGGTGTTTTAAATGTTCTTCACATGTTCTACTACAATGCTTATATTCTTTGTTTTGGTTTTAATTTTTTTAAAGTTTTATGTTAACTGATGTAATTTGTCTACTTTACTTAGTAAATTATCAATGAAAAAAAAATTATTTAGGCCAATATTAGGAATCACATTTTATCTATTATCCTTTATGTTACATGGTAAGTAATGTTAATTTGTTTGGGAATAATATGTATGTAATATATAATGTCTAATATGTGTGTAATAATTTGCAGTGTTTTAATAGATGCAGCTGTTAAAATTCTTCTTTTGTTTACAACAAATAAACTAATAAAAAAAAGAGGAATTAAAAAAGTGAAGTACTATTTATTTTTTATTGTAAAAGCCACGCTATCCAGAACAGCATTATTTTCATCCAGTTTAGTTTTGTTTTTATTGACCTCAATATGAATATGAATTCAATATTGACCTACTTCTGTTTTGAATTTCTATTCACATTATTTCTATACTCACTGCTTATACATATAATTTCATGTCAGCCCCTATCCTAACAGAAACCAAAAAGAAACAACTGTTGTTCATATCACTAGCTAAAATTCATTCCTAAACCATTAAGAAAACCTCATTCCTAACCCAATAGATATTTATAATCAATAAAATTCAATATCAACTTTCCTATCAACAATGCCAAATTATTTACTGGTTATAAAATAAACATTTTTTATACTGAGCTTTCTGCTGTTTATTTCAAACAAAAATAAAATAGTGAAAATTGCTACATAAAGTAAATCAGAATGAATTTTCAAAACCAATTGCACAGTTCAAGATACATTATAGACAAAATGTTAACTATTTTCTTCTAGTAGAAAAAGAATTAGTAAAATTTGAAATTTTAGCAGATATTTATTTATCAAATTACAAGCAATCTAAATTTAATATTTTTGAAACATTAACATCCAAACAATTTGATTTTTGTCTACTCAATTTAATTACTGAAAGAATGTTGGATTTAATAATAAAAGGAACACTATGTTTCTGAAAAAATATCTTCAATTAAACAGTATAGAAAAATACTGAGCAATTTAAAAAAAAATTAAAACTTCTCAACTTGCCTTCTCAGATCCAAGATGGCATTACAATTGTTAAGTAAAACTTGGAAGTTGTAGAAAAAAGTAATTCAAGGAGTCAACCAATTCCTATAAGTTATTCTAAAAAAAGTACATAATTGGATCAAGCCACTTAGTCTTAATCTTAAAAGAAATATGACTAAAAATAATTATCGTAAATGCTGAAGTTTAAAACCTAATATTAAATTGTGTATTTCTGAGTTACAATAAAAAATATCACAGGATTTATTTGTCATTATTCAGCTCCTATTTTGCATTTCAAAATAATACTTAAGTGAACTAACACTTTTGGCCAAGGCTGTAAATGAATATAATACAATTGGTCTTCTGAGTGCACAGGAAGCTCAGTGATATAACCACACATTTTCTGTATATTTCATGCTACAATGCAGGTTTAAAAACATGATTTTTTTATGATTTCAATAAATATTTGTTTTAACCTTTAGAAATACATTTAAATATAAATATTGCATTATTTTAAATTTTTAATCAGTAAACAATGTTATCACATAAAATATCTGAAGAGTGATAATATCTCAGTAATTTAACAAAAACATGAAACAGACCTAGGCCTAAAGCAAGTTAAAACAGTAGTTACTTTGTACATTTTTATATTTAGTACTTAATATTTCAGTTTTTCCAGTGAAGATTATTTCATGTACCTGCTAAAAACTATATATCTCCCTGAGAGGCAGCCATGACACAATTTTATGAGGGAATGATGGAAGTCTAATATTAGTAAATGTTCTGAGCAATATATTAGTCAGTTATGTAATGGAAGCTTAACATGATTCAAAGAAATGGAACAATTTCCTGTAGGACTACCAACATATTTAGTTATCAACATACAAAATGGGCTATCTCATGTTGCATTTTTAATGCTAATATAATTTAAAAAAACAAATACTTAATTATTCAGTATACTCCCTTTCGTTAAAGTAAAGAATATTCAATTAACAAACAAATTTTTTATCTATTAATGTAATTGTTGTTTTTTAATGTTGAAAGATTCTCATATGTAGAATTAGCAATTGGTTTTAGCTTTTATTTAAAAAATAAAAGAATTATTTTATTCTGTATTTAAAATAACTTATTCCTTTGTTCTGACACAGAACAAAATTTAACATTGATGTAGTTCCTGGGCTTTCTTTAGCAATACCAAGGCCTCTTCTATCTTCTTTAGAACATACTTTTAACTGCATGTTACTGATTATTGCTGTGATGACTGGCAAGTTTTATAATTTCTTCTAATAATATCATCCAAAACCTTAAAAGATAATTCAAACATTAAACTGCAATACAATATGTTGAGAACATACACTATATCAAGTAATTTTGAATGAACAAAGCAAAATATGCACATGACCAATCCATCACTACTAAAAATATACATGACATAGTAAAATCTTAAAAATATTTTTAGAAAATGTTATACAAATGTTAAATGCAAGGTTGATTAAATTGATGAATCACTTTATTAATGTAAAAAAAAAAGTAGTTCTTTAAAGCATATAAACATTATAACAATCCGAGAGTAAGTATAGTTTAATTTGAAAATTAATTTCATTTAATATAATGTCACAACTTTTTCACTCATACCAGTATTTTAGTTTATTATTTTCAATTATGAACCTTTCTAATAAAAAATAAAACATGTTATTCAAACCTCAAATTTTTAGATTTCACATTTGAGGATAATTTGAATCCAAATATCAAATAAAAAAAAAACTGTCTGTCTTCTGAGACTGGGCTAATTGTTTTCAGATTAAATATCGAAGTCAAAGCTCACCCGAGGATAATCCTAGGAAATCAACATTTCTATCCACTTATAGGTTTCAAAATTATGGCCAAAAAATGTCTGTTTCAATGGACCATATTGCCAAATAAGCTGAAAAGATTTTAATGAAAATTGTCTAAGGTCTATTGAAGAGCTTTAAATTTACGTACATAGCATATTTACCCAAAAAGAAGGTAAAAAAAAATTACGGTGAATGCAAAATTTTATTAGCAAGTGACTCAAAAAGTTTTTTTTAATAACCCAAAAAAATTACATCAATAGAAGCATTCAAGATTTTCATTTTGAAAATGAAATCATCAGCCATGGATTGTAACTGCGGTCAGGAGCGAGCCCCTCTTGGTTGGTACAAACAATCTCTATAATATGAGTGATGAGCCAGGGAGAACCCTGGCAGTTGAACAAGGATTGACAAATTGCCAAGGTCAGTTGAACTGACTTCATCACCTTATTTGGACCTTAAAAACATTGGTCAAGAAGCATTTCGACTTTATTACTGAAGACCCTTCAGAAGGTGCAAGGGTACAGGTATAAACAACGAAAGGTGAGTCACTTAAACTCCTTATAGAAGTTGATGACCTGAGGTTTTTAGGCCTCTAAGCCAAAACAAACTTAAATTCCTCCCTGACTTGATAGAAGATCAAAACCAAGTATATGCAAATGAAAAAGCTATCTAGTTAACTCAAAATAAGTTGGTTATTGTAAGTCAGGTATACTTTAACAAAATGTTGATATTTCGACTAATTTATATTTTTGCAGATGTTTAAATTCTTCCAAAGTTTCTCCCATTTCAGCTAATACAACATTACTCTTTACAAACAAGGTATAACAAAAATCTATATACAATTTGATAGAAATTACCAAACTTTAACCACACACATTAACCAAACATATTGTGATTGATCTTCAAATAATCCAAATTAGGCAATATCTGTAAATGATTAGAAATTTTTCAACTTCACTATTAATACTAATATTAAGGACAAAAACAAAAAGCCAAAAGAACTGCAAGGAATTCGCCACTTACATGAACATATTCAAATGATGAAATTAACGATCCAAAACATAGGAAGAACACATTCCCAAGCCAAAAATTTTAAAAGCTAATACTTTCAGAAGGTAAAAATGAAATAATAAATCCACTTTGAGCATATCAACCAGCATCAAACCCCCATATCAAATATATAGCTAGTTAATTCTGTTTTAAATACTTTAATGTCTTCTCATTTTCCTTTCCAGTTTCTTTTGTTTTTTTTCATCTACTTCCTGTGGTGGAGCTTGTTGAAAGAAATAAGGAGCAAGTACTTTGGTCCAAAGAAAATAAAATCCTCTACCTGGAGCCTAAAACATAATGCAAAAATTAACAAGTCAAATAATAATTTGAATATTCTTGTCATATTTTTTAGGTTCAGCCTTTTTAATATGTTATTATTGAACAGGTTTTAGGGCACAGGCCACTAATAAGATAAATTTTTATTGTATATCTTTATTTGCCAACTTTTCGGCTTCTTGAGTCATTAACAAGAATATGTAAGCAAACATTTTATTTTATTTTTGTCAATTTTCTTTAAAATATTTTGATTGTTAAACATTGAACAATTGAAATATTTTTTAAAAAAGTGACTAAATTAAAAAATAAAAATTTTTGGTACTTGAGACTTAGTTGGCCACCATGAAACCTACGTTCTTATCTCCTGTAACCTCTTCTTATTACTCATCTTTGCTTAGTTACTTGTACGTTCTTCTCGTTATTCAATTTTTTTTCAGTTTTGTTTTGTTAGTAACGTTATTTTCTTTTTAAAATGAATATTATAACACTATGGCAGAAAAGCAATTTTTATAAAAAAATTGGAGAGCATGGATAAGTGGTTGAAATAGATGAAAGCCTTTTTCTAAAATAAAAAATCATGTAGGGAGAGTGATCGCTCAACAATGGATGTCTAGCAGAGTTTGTTGAGAAATAGATGAGTGTTTCATATAAAATAAAAGACAGAAAAGCAACAACTATATTAGAATGTATTAAAAATAATATAGAAGAGAAACCACGATATATTCTGACTGTTGGAGAGGATACAACACCCAACAACTAAATGAAGCAAACTTTTCAGATACATAGAACATAGAATACATAGAACGATTATGGGGCTCAGATAAGTGAAGGAATAATAAAAATTACTGCAAGGCAACACTTGGATTCATATTTATGTGAATATTTGTAGCAGCAGGTCCACAAAGCAGAGGACCCATTCCTCGCTCCCAAAATAAATAAAATGTTGTCAAATAAAAGTTTTTTTTTTTTTTAGTTATTACATTTATTATCTAGTTCAATTTCCATAAATATAAATAAGAGAGTAGATATTATCAGTATCAGAATTATCAGTGTTCAGGTTATAAACAATGGTGGATAGCAGTCGGTTGCGACCAGCTAACTCACACAAGTACCGAATTTTTTTTACAAGTTCTTGAAGAAGGCTCAAGAAGCCGAAACGTTGGCAAACAAAGATATACAATAATAACAAATCTTACTGGTGACCTCTGGCCTAGAGCCTATTAAATAACAAAATAGTTTAAAATTCTTAACTAAGTCATTTAACTATTTCATTAATGCTAAAAGTACTTCTGACATTCACTCAATTCACATACAAAATTTTCAACAGTTAACTAAATCAGGAGAGGCTACAGTGTAACACAAATATTTAAATAACGTGAAAAGCAACAAAAATATTATACCCAAAATGCACACAAAATTTTAAATAAAACAGACATTAATTAAAACAAATATAATTTAAAAATCATTACCAGAAGCATTAAGAACCAAAAGTAATTTGATATCAGTGACAGTACTTGAGTTCCAGCTGTAAGGATAATCATATCTTTGACATGTCTGAAAATATAATTGAAATCTTTGTGATTCTGTTTATAAAATATAAATTATAAAACACACTTAATATTATTATCATTTATAATGATAAATTAGGTATACTTACTCAGCAATGCCACCCACCAAATTAAGATCAACCCCTGCATCTAATAATTGACCAGTTTCAGAGAACTTTGCTTTTGCCATGTAAGCCATAAACTGATAGCTTGCAATATACAATGCTGTAGTCAATATCAGCATAAACTATAGAACATAAAACAAATTACTCAACTGCAAAAATTACATAAATAATAGATAACGAACCAGCTAACTCACCACATTAAAAAAATTAAGAAGATCAAAAAATAATAAAGTTACTACTAAATACACAGCATTTCCACCAAGAATCATATACTGGTAAAATTTTAAAGTTTCTTTATTTTCCTCTAAAATTTGCTTTTGCCCTTTGGTTCCTTGTTTTCCTTTCTGGGGCTGCAACAGCGCAAAAAAAAAGTTTAAAATACATGTATAACATAGCTCACAGGCATCCCATGTTATTTTTAAAACAACAGAGAATGTTGATAAATGACTATAGAAAAGTTGATAACTCACCGGCATTTTTAAACTTAACGCAACTATAGTCACTTTATATAGGAGATAATAAGTATATTATATTAAAACAAAACAAATAAATATATAAAGACTAACAACTAAAACTTTACGCTTCCACGTCAATATACCAAATATTAACATTCAAAATAGTACAATCATAAAAACGTCACGCAAAGCTGCAACGAGGTTCTTCTACGAATCGATAGATGGAAGACTGTGTATCACTTGCTTAACAAAAAATAAGACCACAAAACTCAAAACATAACAATAGATGAGTATCTTTGTAAGTGTATGGGCAAGCTCCTAAAATCATTAATAAACACCGAGAACACTAGGGGGGCGCGCACTTATCCTCCTGGAGGCTGAAAAAAATTCCAAAAAACAGTTATTTAAAGAAAAGAGAAACGTAGAGGAAATACATTCCTATGTAAGAATTTCCTAATGTAATATAAACAAAATTATAGTGACTAGCGCTAACGAATTCTGCCAGGGGGTGCGCCCTTCCTTAGATGGTGGAAAAAAATCCGACAAAAAGGGACAAAAAACATCTATTTAAAGAAAAGAGAAATAAACGGAAAATCCATCCTCATTCACGAATTTTCTAATGTTATATATAAAAAAAAATTATATTATCAAGACCAGCAATAGCGAATTAAGCCAGGGCGCGCCCCCTCCCTTGGATTGTTGAAAAAAATCCAATAAAAAGTGACAAAAAACACCTATTTAAAGAAAAGAGAAATATAGAGAAAATTCATCCTAATATAAGAATTTCCTAATGAAATAAAAAAAAAATATTATCCTGACCAGCACTAGCGAATTCTGCCAGATGGAGGCCTCCCTTGGAAGGCAGAAATTTCGAAAATGTGACAAACAACCTATTTAAAGAAAAGAGAAATATAGAGAAAATTCATCCTCATACAAGAATTTTCTAATGTAATCCAAAAAAAAAATTATTATCCCGATCAGCACTAGCGAATTCTGCCATGGGGGAAGGGCGCCCTCCTTTAGATGGTGGTAAATTCCGAAAAAAAAAGTTACTAAAAACACCTATTTAAAAAAAAAGAGAAATGTAGAGAAAATCCTCATTCATGAATTTCCTGGTGTAGTATATAAAAAAATTGTTATCTTGAGCAGCACTAGCGAATTCTGAAAGAAAGCGCGCTCTCCCTTGGATGCTGGAAAAATATTGCGAAAAACACCTATATAAAGAAAAGAGAAATATGGAGAAAATTAATCCTGATTCAGGAATTTCCTAATGTAATATAAAAAACAATTATTATCCTGACCAGCACTTGCTAATTATATCAGGGGGCGCGCCCTCCCTTGGATGCTGGTAAAAAAAACGAAAAAACAACTATATAAAGAAAAGATAAATATAGAGAAAATTCATTCTCATACACGAATTTCTTAATATAATATTTTAAAAATTACTATCGTAACCAGCACTATCAAATTCTGCCAGGGGGAGCATCATCCCTTGGTTAGTGGGAAAAAAATCCAAAAAAAAACGTCTATTTAAAGAAAAGAGAATTATAGAAAAAATCATCCTCAAAATCGAATTTTCTAATGTGATATAAAAATATCTGGTGTGTCCACCAGATATTAAATATTTACTTAATTTAAGTAATTAATAATTGCTCACTGTAAACTACACCAAATTTACTTTATATAAAAATAGAGTTTGCTTTTGTTAAAACCATTTAAAGAGGACTTTTGAGCGGCTAAGCCTAGCTAAGGAGTGGGAGGAGATGGGTAGTGGTGGGGAAACGTGCAGAGATGAGGGAAGCACCTGGTGTAGAGGTGCGCCCCCCCCTGAGAAAATTCCTGGATCCGTCACTGATTTCAGGTCTAGCCTATGGTGGACAGGTTGGCCGAATGGGCTAACGCTTGTGTACTGCACCGCCGTTGTCCGGCAATCTGATATATAAGACTTTAATAAAAAAATAGACACGAGTTCGCGCCCCAGTGCCGGTGGAGTCTTTCAAATCCCCGCCCTCACCCCCTGGGCTGGGAAAACCCCCGTATAGCCTTAAAGGTGAGGAAGGTGAGGACCAAAAAAATAAGTCAATCCAGTGAATTTTATTTTAGGTTACAAATTTTATTTTTTTACTTATTATCTTAATCCAGTGCCAACAAGCCTCGAGGGAATTCTCTTCAATAAAGAACAAAAAATAACTACATTAATATTCAAATTAACCTTCAGTGTTAGACTCGAAACAGGAATAGGTAGGTTTGGTGGTCTGGTCCTTACGTCGATTTAAGTTCTTCCACTATGCATTTCTGGTAGTTTATTATTGAGACATTGGGTTGGACCTCAAGAACAACTCACCCGTATGCTACAAATAGCGAGGCAGGGAGTAGCCGAAAAACAAAGTAATAATTCATCTCTGATCCAGGGGATATGTTCGAGTTGAGGAAATCCTGTTCTACTTATCTTTCTTGGTATAGAGTACAGAATATTTGAAAAATAAATTAATTAATCACCTATTCTGCAGTGAAAAGAAGAATACTGAAAATATTGTTTGTAATGGTGATGGCTATCATTTAATTAAGTTACGTTATATCGATAAAAAAAAAACAACACCTAAAAATATTTTCATGTCGAGATTGGCTAACGTTACATCAGTACGTATTCATTCACTGTCATAATCTTAAGGAGCTAATGAGCTAAATGCTACTTGGATTTTAAAAAATTGGAATATTTTTATTTTAGGTTTTTATCAAATCGATATAAATTGAATTATGCTTAATACAATAATATAGTATCGATGTCTAAATAAAATCATTATTGTTTACAAACTTTTCGGAGTTCATTATCAATCAACTTTTGAATCTGCATTGTATACTTTGCTTGAGTTAATTTGATAAAGTAATGCGGAAACATCAATTTTGTCTTCAGTTGTAATAATATGTACCCGGATTCCTTTAAAATGGAAAGGTTACCTTGGAAGGTTAAAATTTGAAAAGTAATGTTTCAACTATGTAAATGAATTCTGTTGACAGTCGTGGAGTATTCAGTGTTCTGAATAGAAATATTCTATTAAAATGGGCGGGTATAATCTACAAATAATTTAACGAAAATGGAGTATGATTATTTGTCACTAAAGAGAGAAATTGACCCTAATAGATGCTGTGCTGGTTGGTTCTGGTGTATTAAAGTGAGTATTAATTTGATTTTATGGTGATTTAATTTAAGCCATCAAAATTTATGTTGTAGGACAATTATTATATATAATATACCATGTAATATCTTTGTTATTTTATTCTAGGACATTTGTGGGATAGTTTGTGCAATATTGACATGGCTATTAATTTTATTTGCTGAATTTGTTGTTATGACAGTTATTCTGTTGCCTTACCCATATACTTTTTATAGCATATTTAATGGAGTTTTATTTCATATCCTTGGTTTTCTTGCAATTACTTCTCATTTGCGGACAATGTTAACTGATCCTGTGAGTTATTTTTTTAAGTGTATTTTGCCTATTTTCTGTAAAATATTAACTTAACTGTCTTATATATTTCTTTTCTTTTCTTTAGGGTTCGGTCCCTAAAGGCAATGCTACTAAAGAAATGATTCAACATATGGGTTGCCGTGAAGGCCAAGTGATATTTAAATGCCAAAAATGCTGTAGTATAAAGCCGGAAAGAGCTCATCATTGTTCTGTTTGCCAAAGGTTTTTTTTTATTATTACTTTTACTTGTGATATCCTTCACATTTTATGGAATAAAAATATGTTTGATGTAATTTTATTCTGCAGGTGTATACGCAAGATGGACCATCATTGTCCGTGGGTAAACAATTGTGTTGGAGAAGACAATCAGAAATTCTTTGTTCTTTTTACTGTAAGAAATTTCTACTGTTCATAGCATGTTAGAGTTGATTTTTTTTCTAATCAAGTCTGTAGATATTATTTTGGTATACTTTCAGAAACCATGTATGGTTAAAGATGGCTTATGATCACATTTAAAATATAATCCTGGAATTAGTTAACTGTATCTAAAAGTAAACGGAGCCAATTTATGGTGAATTTAAACTAATTCATTTCCCCTGCCTTGGACCCCTACTGTGTAAAGCATTAGACTTCAACTGTAGAAGACTTATTGGGTGTTTGTTTATCCTTTAAGGGAGCTTAGTAAGCTCTTCTAAGCCGTCTTCCTGTAAACATAGTTGTCAACACAATGCTACTTTGGGAATTCCATCAAAAACATGATCAATGTGCACTTTGACCCATCAATCAGAAGTCACTTATGAACTAGTACTATTATTTAATTTTTCAAAAGACCTCAGAGACACATGACATAAATTGGAAACCTCTTTCCATAACAATAAAACTGACCTGTAAACTAGACAGGTCCTAATCTACAGCGTGGAATGTTGGACTAAATCAAAAACCATCAAGCTGGTCTCACTAAAATATGAGTGCCGGATCCTTCGCAGAATATGTGGCTCAGTATGTGTGAACCAAGAGTGAAGGCTCTCCTGGGCATGCCAAAAGGCTAGGATACCTAATTGCCAAATTCCAAAGAAACTCCTCATTGAATGGTTATATTCGATAATTGAAATCAAGTGCTCAGAACAAAAATGACTGGTGATTGATGTTACAGAAGGCCTTTTGACCCATGTGGGTTTTAGAACCAAAAATGATGGTGATGATGAATTCTTCATCTATTTATATGTATTTACCAGTTTGTATCATAGTATCTGTGTTAAAATTTCTCTTTACAATCATTTCTATCTATTTTAATATTTTTTTTAGGTATTCTTGCCATTCCAAACACCTATTAATAGTGTATTGATTTTATGGGTGGTCTGTTTTCTTACCATTTTTAGGATATTCCATGCATTTATGGATTTCCCATATCATAGTTGTACATTAATATTTCTACCAACCACTTCCTAGTTTTTTTTCATTTTGTATCTCACGGCTCAAGGTTCTTTTTTTGTTTAGAGATGAACTTTGTTCTACTTATACTGTCCTTATACACACTTTTAATAGATACACTTGTTCTTCTTCTTTTGCAAAAATTATAACCTCCTCATTTCTCCAATTACAGGAAATTTTTCTATTTTAATTCTCTTTTAGCACTTCAGTGGTTAATTCCTTGGTCATTACCACAATGCATTTATTCATCATTGCCATTCATTTTTTTCTCTGGTTTCTGCTTCATTGATAGAATCAGCTTATATTGGTTCATGTGTTTGTGTTTTAAAGAAGAGTACCATTCTTAAAAGTCTTCTATTCAGCTATATTTCTTCATGGAAAAAGTTAGATTTTTTAATTCCTATATTTACCCCGATAACTAGTTCAGTTTTTTTATAAACAACTGTTACTATTTCATTTTAACAATTAAACTTGTTATTTTAACGTTATTAAAATAACATGTAACATTTTAAAATAAATAACAATTCGTAAAATTTTATTTATGATTTTTTTTAATATTCCATGTTTCATGATTAAATGATCAAAAAATTAAGATTAACATTATTTTCCAAATTAAAAAGTTAAGCATTATGGATTAAGAAATTGCCTCAAAACTTGATGTTTTTAAGTAAGGGACAGTGTGTAATTCCACCTTTTTAATTTGTGAATCTCTTCTTCCAAGTGAGCGTTTTATATGTATACAATACTCTCTTGGTGTTTTATCCTCAAGCTTTCATACCCTCTTAAAAGAGAGTAAAATCTGACCTGGGCCTCCTTTTGGTGCCCCTGTTTTAATTTATTTATTTATTTTTTTTTTTTTGATCCACCTCTTCCTTGCCTTTAAGGCTATACGGGGTTTGACCGAGCTAGGGGGTGAGGGCCGGGATTTAAAAGACCCCAGTCACCGGGATGCGAATTCGTGACTATTTTTATCCGGTTATCTTATGTATCAGGTTGCTGGGCAACATCAGTGCTGTGCACACACGTTAGCCCATTCGACCACCAGCAGGCTCCTGCCCCCAGGTTTAATCCAGTATAGGTGGCATACAGTGTGGGAGTCTAGCTCTGTACTTGCTTGTGACCAGTCGCATTTGCGGTATAGTGTGTTTTCTGATGTTGTTTTTTATGTTTGTTTACTGTTAATTAACTTTTTTAGACATGGTTTGTTAATTGTAGTGTTTTTTTTTTGTTTTTTTTTTTTTTATAAGTGTAAATAGTTTTGAATATTGAGGTTAGAAAGCCTCGCATGGTTTTCCACGAAATATTGACCTTAGTACATAAAGACTATTAATATCTAGAGATATTAGAGATAGAGAAAGACTAAATATTAATATCTAAATAGAGTATCATAATTAGAATAATTAAAGTTTATCAGAAAAGACTCTTTTTGAAATCTGGTTGAGGTAAGTTATTCATAACCTATCCAAATTCGTTTAATAAATTGTATTATTGTATTGAGTTATCAAGGACTACCAAAAGAAAAAATTTAGAATCCTTTATTAGCAAATATAATAGGAAGTTCCCATTGGAACTACAAAAGAATTATACAAACATTTGCTGATAACTGTTCCTAAGCTATTTTAAATTAGATAGGTTAGAACTGTTATCACTGCAGTAATTAGTGTTAAAATACTATTTACTATGGACGATAGTGTTATAGAAATGGAAGAAGAGATAGAAGATAAGAAAAAACCTAAAAGATCAAGACCTGTAGCCAAGAGAGCCAGGAATGGATCGCCTGATATAACAGACCAAAAAGAGAGTAAAACGGATCCGTTGTTAGTAGAGGCGAAGGCCATTCAAGAAAACTTAAGAGTTTACCTTACGAACGTAGATAAAAGATTAAGTGTGAAAACACAAAAAGATATAAACGGTAAAGTGAGTCATCTTATCGATATCATGGAAACCGTCATCGATAGATCGAAAGAACAGAGAGCATTAATTGAACGAGTTGTCAAGGAGACACTATCATCTCCTAGCGTGTTTGACAAAATCACGGACATTCTCGTTGAACGATCTCTACCCAGAATTTTCGAGAGGCTTCCAGCAGCAGAAACACAAAACCACAACCCACCGCCTAAAGCTGGAACATCTGGGATCAATTCATTAAACAATGAATTAATAATTAAACCTTCAGAAGAAGTTTTAGAATCAGAAGATTTTGCTATAGTTCAAAGTCGAAGAAAAAAGAAAAACGTTAAAATGATAGCCAAAAAGAACGAGGAAGTAAATGAGCAACTGAAAGGAGTACAGAATAGTTCTAATGCGTCAATTTTACCCCCGGCAAAGAAAACTATGGCGGACATAGTTAAAACGCTACCGATTAAACCTAATGAAAATGCACCGCGGCATGCATTTGTTACAATGGCTAGAGGAGGGAAATCTGCTCTAGAAATTGTTAGCGAATTACCATCTCCGAATGAACTAGGAGTACAGGCAAAAGTGATCCGTACAACCAAGGCTGGTGCTGTTCTCGTACGCGTAGAAGATGAAAATCAAGCCATCAAGCTTTTACAGTGCCAAAAGTTACTAGAGAAAGGGATAGAAACTAAGATGGCATTGAGGAGAAAGCCTAGACTGCAGGTAAGGGGAGCTCCTCACTCTTGGACCGCATCTGAATTGGAAATGGTAATATGGGGAAGATTGCCTCAGGGGACAATACCCATTGGGCTAGAAAGAAAGGAGTGTGTCCAGGCATGTTTCTCTTCAATAGCAAGAGGAGGCCTTACAAGGAATTGGGTGATAGAGGTTCATCCGATGATAAGATTTGGCCTAATACAAACATCAGTTATTGATGGAGGATGGTGGTCCTTGAACTTTAAAGATTATATAGATCCTCCTTGCTGCATGAAGTGTCTGGGATATGACCACTCTAAGGCGTCCTGCACAGCAGACTCTGGTTTGCAAATGGTGTGCCTGCCCAGGTCACATAGCTAAGGAGTGCCCAAGAAAGAAGGAAAGGGCAGAACCGATTTGTGCGAATTGTGTACGAGAAGGGAAACAGAAACACCTGGCCAAGCACCAAGCGGGCTGTCAAACTTGCCCAGTCCATTTAAAGAAGACCCAAGAACTAGCGAAGAGAACCAAGTGTGAGTAACAAGATTACTATCCTACAACTTAATATGGGCCGACGGCGTCTTGTGTCTGATGAGCTACGAGCTCTAGCCCATCGCTATGACATTTTCGCGGTTCAAGAACCAGGTTGCTATAGGAACATGGTCACGGGGTTTGGCCTCACGTCAAGGGTTATAGCCTTGAGCAGTGGAGAGGGGAGGCCCAGGGCTGCTATAGTTATCAATAACCCCAACCTTGACGTGATGGAACTGAGGCAGTATACCATGGCGGACCGTGCTGTATGTTACATAAGATGGGGCAGGATTGCTTTTACACTGATATCTGCCTACATGCACGATAGAAGAGATGTTGAAGAGGATATATCCGCCATGGAAACGATCTTACAAGGTACAAGAAACGTGATCGTCTGCTCAGATGCCAACTCCTGGAACACGGTCTGGGGGTCCAATCGAACAGACAGAAGAGGCGTCAAGCTGGGTGAATTTATTGCTAGAAACCAATTGGTGGTGTTAAATGATCCATCTGCTACACCTACCTTCTCTGGAGGTAGAGGGCAGAGCTGGATAGATATCACTCTAGCTTCACCAACGCTATCTAGATACATCTTCGATTGGACACTCAGATCAGAGACGAGTTCGGACCACAATGCGATTGCATTTGGCCTGGTAGATGATCCAGGATGTTCCTATGGCAATGTGAAGGGCTATTTGACCAGAAGAAGTGAATGGAATGTCTTTCGGTGCATGATGGAGGGTGAAATGGTCGACGAAGAGTGGGAAGTTGAGGATTCAGAAAACACCGATGACCTAGACTACAGGGTGTCAAGGATTACTGATGCCATCCGTGATGCTGCCGAGAACTCCCTCCAGCACCGGAAGACGAGGGCTCGACCTGTCCCGTGGTGGACGCCGGCCTTAACAGCTATGAAGAGAGACCTCTACAAGGCACGGCGGTCGTACCAGAGGTGCAGATGCGACGAGAGGCGCACTGCACTTCGTAACGAGTATAAGTCCATGGCCAGGGTATACCGAAATACCGAAAGCGTATACAGGTATACCGAAAGCGGAAGTCTTGGGACGATTTTATCGTCGAAGAATCTTCAAAGAATCCTTGGGGTATTCCGTATAAGGTGGCTCTGGGCAAGTTGACTCCGCTGCAAACGATAGCGGCGATGAAGCATGAAGATGTCCATGCTACTACCTTAGAAGAGACCGCTAATTTCTTCGTCAAAGCGACTTACCCCAAGGACGACCCATCTCAAGACACCCAAGAGGAACATTTTGTGAGACATACCACGGTATACCCACCAGGCACTGACTTTTGCTCACCATGGGACGCAGATGATATTCGTATTGCCGTGGGTAGGCAAAAGAATGGCCGCGCTCCAGGACTTGATGCTATAGATGCAGCGATCCTAAAGAACAGTATCTCCTATATTGAAGAGCGACTTTTAGGAATCTTTAATGATTGTTTAGATAGGGGATACTTCCCAAGGAAATGGAAGATCGCTGATTTGAGACTCCTCTACAAGGGAGGAGGCAGGGATAAACAACTTCCTAAGTCATATAGACCAATTTGTCTCCTCCCTGTGATGAGTAAGGTCCTGGAGAACCTCATGATGACCAGGTTACGGCTAGTTCTCAATCAAGCAAGCCATCCACGGCAATACGGCTCTACCAGAGGCAGAGGAACCGCTGATGCTCTGCTGAGAGTTCGCAGAGATGTTGAAGAAAGAGCGGAGCGATACGTCATGCTGCTCCTTTTTGATATATCCTCCGCCTTTGATAGTTTATGGTGGGCCTGCGTACTCCAGCAGCTGCAAAAATATGACGTTCCCAGCAACCTATATGCCCTCGTAAGGAGCTATCTTCAGGACAGGCGAGTGAAGATCAAAGGCAGCTATTACGAGGTAGAAGCTTCCGTAGAGAGGGGATGCCCTCAGGGATCAGTACTTGGTCCTGCTCTATGGAAGCTGGTTTTTGATGAGTTGCTGGGAGTGCTTGAAAATGAGCGGTTCTCTGCCACTGCCTATGTTGACGATCTAGCTGCTGTGGTGGCATCCAACAGCAGGGCGGGGATCAAACTAGCAGCAGAGCGATGTGCTAACCTTGTAGCCAGATGGTGTGAGGGAAAGAAAATGCGTATGGCTGCTGAAAAGACGCAAGCCATCCTCTTGAAAGGCACGACTGATAGAGCACACCCCATTAGCATGGATATAGAAGGTCAAATAATACGCCCAAGTGAGGTGGTAACATATCTTGGTGTAAGGTTAGGAAAAGGCCTAAATATAACACCTCACTTGGATTATCTAGCAACTAAGGTGACCCAAGCCTTGAACGGACTCAGTCGTGTTGGGGGTGCATTCTGGGGCCTCAGATACCCCGCAACGATGACGATCTATAAAGGTGTTGTGCTGGGTATCTTGAGGTATGCTTCTCCCTCCTGGTATAGGAACCTCACACAGCAACAGCGAAAAAGGTTAGCGTCGATCCAGAGGATGGCCCTGTTGCGTGTCACCAGAGCATTTAGGACAACGTCACATGAAGCAGTGCAGATCCTAGCGGGGGCGGTACCTCTCAACTTCCTCCTGCGAGAAGATGTGACCAAGCATAAATACAAGAAAGAAGGCTTGGCTGGAGTTCCAGAAAATCTACGGGTGAGGATTGTGGAAAGTCCCAACAAATGGAAGAAGATAATCCGGGAGAATACGATTGAGGAATGGAGCCGTCGGTGGGTTGCTACCCCGAAAGGGAGTACTCTCAGAAAATACTTCCCCACCGTACAGTCGCGGTTAGATGCACAATGGATCCTCCCGGACTATTGGATTTCACAGTTCCTCATGGGGCATGGGGGTTTTCGAGCTAAGCTACATGGCTTTGGCCAGGACATAGATCCCCAATGCCCCACTTGTGGAGTTCTGGAGACTGTCGAGCACGTGGTCACGGCCTGCACTGCATTTGAAGGAATAAGGGCAACGATGATGAGAACCGCAGGAATTTACGTTCTAACAGAGGATGAACTTCCTCAGTTGGTAAGGAAGGAGCCCACTTCAACATCGGAGCACGGAGAAGAGGACCACCACCAAGAAGACTGCCGGAAGACGGACACCCTTGATAAGACGTCACCGAAGATAACATATTTTAAACTGTTTCACTTGCAGTAGTATGCTGTTATGCAGTCATGCATAACAGCCCATTATTGCAAACGCCCGTATGGCCCATCAGGCAAGGTAGGGTGGAATGTAAATAAATAAATAAAAATAATAAGGTGGCATACAGTGCTCCTAGAAAGGTAGAGGTCACCTGTCTAATCAACCTGAAATCAAATCCCTGAGGCTGGAGATTTAGGATTAAATCCAGCATCCCAATAGAAAAAATCATAACCACTTATAGACTTAGTAACAAGAGATTTAAAATATATTTAAGAAACTGGCAAAGTCAAATTGGAAAGCTAAAGTGGGCTGACAGATTACTTAACCTTTTACACCCTGCCCTCTAATTCCAGTAGAATTTTTTTTTTTGTAATATTGGTCTCAATATGGTTCAGTTTAGATACTTCCTAAAAAAAAAAATTTCCTTTGTGCTTTTCCAACTGAAGTCGAACAATGGCAGGTTCAGGTTAACAAAAAAAAAATGTCTTAATAGTTTTATTAGAATATTCAAATCAAGAATAGTGTTGTTTTAATTAATATTGATACAAAATTATTATATATTATAGTGAAACATAATAATTATTTGTAAAATAATAAAAAATGCGTATGTAAGAATACGGAATAAAAAAAAATTTGTTATGGTAATATACAATTCACAATCCATGATATTGGGGAAGACAATCAATATGAATGCATTTCTGGGCATTCTTTGCATTGATATTTTGTGGTGCCACAATTAACACACCTTCCCTGGGAAGCTGAAATGATATAATGTCCATTTGTCTTACGCCTGCTAGGAAGGATGGAAGTTTTCAGACCTGTCCGCAGACCATCTTTCCGTGGTAAAGCCTGCTTAGCACTATACTTATAATCATCTAAGACACCAATTTAAGAAAAAGGTTTGTCTTTGGAAGAAGAAGGTCAATCATCAGAAGTATCATTATCATCGGTATTTTTTTTTTAAAATAAATAATGCAACTTGCCCAACTCCAAAATATTCTTGTCAATGTCTTCTTCCTCTGTTAGGCGTTCGTTTTCGTCAGGAGGAAGCTGGTATATATCAATTTCTTCGTAACTATTTCCTGATTCATCATCACTCAACGATTTTAGATAATTCAAATATTCCACTGCTTCTTCCACGGTACAAAATATTTTTTCCATTTTTATTATTGATGATAATAAAATATGTCACAAATAAAATACTTAATTATTATAAAATGTGAGTAAGAAAAGCGATGCAATCATGACAAGAACCGAGTGATGTCTGAGAAAACTAACACCAAAGAATGTTTGGCATAGTATTTCCAATAATATGTGTTCTAAGACACTAATAAAAAATTACGCAGTTTCTCTTTTGGTAAGGGTAAGAAATTATACAAAAAATTGAAAACCTTAAAATAGTTATTAGTAGTTTTATGAATTTCCGTGTTCAGTTTTGTACTAAGAAAACAAGGTAAGAAACAATGAATAGAATGAACATTTCTATAGCATGAACTTGCCATTGTTCCATATGTGGAACATTAAAATTAAAATTAGTAAAACTGATTCTTAGAATTTTTTATTATTTTCAGTAATCTATCACAATCAATCAAATCAATATTCAAATTAAATTTCACTTCTGTGGTATTAAAACAAAAACAAATAATCAATACACATCTCGACACTAAAAAATCAGAAAATTACTTTAACTTTTTATTTACCGCACTAAAAGTGATAAAATCTTTATTGAACAAATTTTATAAATTTATTTCAACCTTCGTTTTGTTGGAAAAAAATTGTTTAATATATGTTCCACTTCTGGAATAATGGCATTTAAAAGGTTAAATCTAATATTTATGTGTCTTAATACTGAAAATATCAAATTTAAGTTTATTATTTTAACAATTCCTTCTAGTATACTGTGCCGAGGATTTATATCTGTGTATCAGGTGTTCCTTAGGTATGCTACTCTCATGATTAAGCAGCAGTTCCTTCCAAAAAAATTTGATAACAGAAACACTACTTTAGATTTAAACATTTTTAAGGCAGATAAAAAAAAAAATTACTATAATTATGTTATTATACATTATTAAATTTTAGTCATACCTTAAAAACATCAATATACCTTTAATTGCTTTTAAAAAATAAAATAAAAATTATAAATACTTTATATATACATTTTTTTTTTCAGTTATACATTGCTTGTATGTCACTCCATTCGTTGATCTTAGCAGCGCAACAGTTCTTCAGTTGTATCGATCGTGAATGGAGAACTTGTTCTTCATACTCACCCCCAACAACTGTTATACTACTGGTATTCTTAGTTTTTGAGGCACTATTATTTGCAATATTCACATCAGCTATGTTCTTCAGTCAGCTCCAGGCAATCTGGAATGACGAAACGGTAGTTACTTTTATTTTATTTTTACTTAAATAAGAAAAATGTTTAGAAAAAAATAATGAATTTATATTTCTAATCTTATTCATCCTCTGATTCAAGTTAAATTCGTGTTGTTCAATCTTTTTTAAAGTTGAAAATAAATGGTGCTTAAATGAGGTTAAGGAAGAACATTTGCATACGGAAGTAGGTAGGGAATTTCAGAACAAGGTAGCACGTATGAGAAAGGATTTTTTAAATGAAACAGTTCTATGAAAAGGAATAAAAAGATTTGTGGGGTTGAACCAATGGGCCGAGGAGCAGGGAGTGTACAGATCAAGAAAATAAGTATGTTTTTTGGTTGTAAAGATTTGGAAAAGGAAAACACCTAGGAGATATTGCTGTCGGAAAACTGAATAGAGCCACTTCAACTCAGCATACCAACTGGAGACATGGGAGTGCCTATGGGCTCCAAAGATAAAACTAATGAAGCAATTCATCGATCTTCTCAATCTAATCTCAAGTCTTCCAGAAAGTCCACAGTATACAAGGCAGCCATAATTAAAGTGAGGAAACCAGGAGCTTACGGGTCTTTAGAGGCCTAGAATCATGGAATCTCGGGAACTGTTTTAGGGTTGCTATAGATTTTCCGATAATTTGGGAAATATGATTGTTCCAGGTGGGGTTTTTGATCAAATATTACTCTCAGATTTCTTAAGGAAGAATACAAATGAATAGGTAGTCCATTGAGGTAGAGTAGGGGATAATAAGGAATGGAATTGATGAGATGATTGGAACCAATGAGAATATCTTTTTTCTTCTCCGCATTCAACTTTAAATCATTGCTGCCTGTCCAAGTGTTAATACTATTTATATCTTCCTGTAGCTATTGGATTGCCTCAAGCATTTATGTGGAATGAAAGGAATGGTAGATTTGTGATGATCTCCATACCTGTGCAAATACTTCTATCCATCATATGGGATGGAAAATAATGTATATATAGATAAAAATATAAGGTTCATTAGTCAGTGTCTATGAATATTAAAAATCAGTGAAGTATTCGAGTGCCTTCCACACCATACAAAACTCTTAACTCTTCTTTCAATACATTAATTTACCTTCTGTATGTTAACACAACATACGATTCCATGCATAGATGTCTGGAACAGAAAGATCTGTTTAGTATCATGGAGGCACCTGACTACTTCACCAAGTTTCACTATTCATAGCCACTATCTAACAACCCACTTATATTTTTATGCAGACATTATTTTCTGTCTCTTGTGATTCCGTTTCTTTTGAATTTTATACACTTTGATGACAAAATTACAAGACAGGAGCGGCAGAAGAATGATCATCTTTGTCATGTTCGTGAACTTTTCCAAATCTTCGTCTTAAACTGTCAAAAATGTTATTCTCCTGGAGCCAATGTTACTATCAATGAAAAACTAGAAGATTTCAGAGGCAGATTCCCCTTTCTGCAGTGTATACCGTCAAAACCTCAAAAGTATAGCTTACAAATCTATGCAGTGGTTGACAGCAAAGTATATTAGGCATATAATTTAGAAATCTATGCAGGAAAACAACCAGAAAGTTCACCATTTTCAGTCAGCAATTCCTTTGTTGATGTGGTTAGAAAACTCTCCGCACCCTTATATTATACAGGACGTAATATCACAATGGGTAACTGGTTTTCGGATGTGTCGTTGGTTGAAGAACTGGTAAAAAAAAAATCAGTATCGTAGGAACACTGAAAAAAAAAAAAAAATGAGGCTCAAATTCCATTACCCTTCAAAAACACTAAAAACCGCGAGGTAAAATCACTTATGTTTGGTTTTTGCCAAAAATCCACTTTGGTGTCAAATGTTCCAAAACCAAGGGAAAAAAACTGAAATTATCACGTATTACACCAAACACAAATGATGAAATGTGCGAAACCTATAATGTTAACCATGACACCAGATATGGTGTTATGTACCTATGTTAATATTTTGTTCCATGTTCAATATGGTTGGAATTAATGCCCAGATTATTCTTGCTGACAACAATGTAAAAGCTGTAAAATGTCGGCTATTTTTGAAGAATCTCAGTGAAAAATTGCTAAGGAACATCTAGATCGATGCTCAATAAATTTGAAAGGTATCCCTTACCTTCTTAATCTACAAATAACAAGCCTGTCTTCAAGAAAGAGAGATCAATCATCACAAGAAATTATGGTTATACCCGACAAATCTCCGCTAGCTACAGCGGATCAAGATGCCCCCACATGTTCTGAAATCAGTCAAAAACCGGAGAAAAACCAACCCAACAAAATTTCTGTAGATGGAAACAGCTGTGAAAGAACCTTGTGGGCAGGAAAGTGATTTACAACCAAGAAACAAGAATTGTGTTAAATGTTTCAAGTCCGGCGGTTGCTGCAAAAAAGAGAAAAAATCCAGGCCTTGCAAGATGCTTTCTCAAAAGGAAAAGTTAAGCTGTAAATATTGTGATACTTATTAGTGCCTTGAACATTCAGTTGTCATTTGTGATAATTGTGCCAAAAAATAACTCACAAGACTTAAGAACTAATGAAATTTGTTAGTAATGAGGTGTACGTAATTAGTTAGTCAATATATGTTCACTAATTGTGAATAATTATTTTCTAAAGTACCTGTTTGTTTGTTCGGTTACTAATCATAGGTGTGTTAAAGTACTGAAGAAATGGTTCATGATTCCTCAATTAAATTATTAAAATTGGAAATTTTGTTATTAGATTTTAAATTGTTGTGATATGTGAAAATTGCATTTTATTATTTAGATTTAAAATAATTGTATTTGTACGTTTGAATAATAAAGAAATGTTTCATGCTTTATAAATTCAATTGTTTTGAAGTTTCTTAATCAAAAACAAATAAGGGATATTATATTTCCAGTGTAAAATACATGAAAGACCCCTCAGGTCGATTGTTTGTTCCAAAATGATTGATTTTTTGCTTGCACTTTCTGCAGGGTTAAAATATAATACACATTTTTTCAATTATTTTTGGCTCAAATTGTTTCAAAACGTTCACAGTATCTCACTGAATAATTACAGGCGTCAAAATTAAAAATAGGTCAAGCCATTGGTTCAAAGAATTGTTATATACTATTTAGGAATCTTATTAAACATATCTTGTCTAATCATGGGTCAGTGTTTTGAGATCAAATTGTTTGAAAACACTCACTTGATCTCAATGAATATTTTGAGCCATCAAACATAAAAATTGATTTAGCTGTATGCTCAAAAAAAACATTACATACCTCTTGGCAGACAAATTATGAAAATAAAAATATATGCCTTATTATTGCTAATTGTTGAAAGTTGGCAAAAACCACTTACTTAAACTATAGACTAGGTATGCCCATTAAATATATATATATATATAGATCCCTCTCTACTGAAGTGCAATTTTAACTAAAAACATTTAGATAGAATCAAACGGAAAAACCATTGTAAACGTTTATGATAGTCCAGACTTCAAACTCCTTGACTTTTTTTTGTTCATTCCCTTAAAAGAATCCCTTGGAGTAGAATGATTTGAAAACATTAAAGTAATTAGCTGGCAACTCGCTCGCACTCAAACTTTTGTAAACAAAGAATTTTTAAGTCTACAAATCGGTAGCAATAGTGTATTGATATTGGTGAAGAATACATTTCAAAATCATGATAGTATGATTTATCAAATACATTAATTGTAAAAAATAATTACTGTTGATTTACCCTCTTAACCCATATAATGTAAAATGAACTATTTTTATTCTTTAATTTTACAATAAGATTGTTTTTCTTTTTTACAAATTTACAGGGTATTGAACAGCTGAAAAAAGAAGAAGCGAGATGGGTAAAAAAATCTAGATGGAAAAGTATCCAGGCGGTCTTTGGCCGCTTTTCACTGGCTTGGTTCTCACCATTTATTTATCCTCCTCCAAGGACACCAAGAAAAAAGGCTGACTACTATTTGTTCTCTGTATGATTCCCCTACATTTTCGTTTTTTAATTTTTTTTCCCCCCTATTTTCACTCAGTATTCTTGATAACAATCCATTCGAAGACTGTTTCTATATAACATAGAATCTCAGTTTAGTTTTTAATCTGGAATTATTTCTAGGTTTGAGGTTAATTGGACCAAAATTAATTAAGTTTACTCTTATTTTAGTCAAAAGAAAAATTTTAAAGACCATTTAGTATTTATTGAAACCTCGTAATCCATTTAGAATACTAGACAGATCAATAGCTATTAAAATTTTCTCTAATTGTTAAACAAAAAAAAAATATATATATATGTATGCGTGTGTTTGTGTGTGTGAGTGTATATGTATAAGTATCACCCCTGTTAAATTGTGTTAAAACAAGAAACAGATTTAAAATTGTATTTTTACTTCATTAATAATAAATGCTCTAGTGGTTATCCTTTATTATTATTTATTTGGAAGATGGCATACCTCAAATGTCATTGATGTGATATCGTAGTAAAATTTTGTATGATAGTGATTAAACAGTGTATATGGAAACAGGAAATAGAGATGTGTAAATCTAGTTATATAAAGAGTAATGTTATTTCTTTATAAATTGTACAAGTTATGTATTAAATATTTTAATGTTACATAGCAAGGCCTACTTGATGTTTTGATTTCGAAGGATTATTCTTCTTTTGCTACTTGTCATAAGCTAAAAGCTTCTGTTAGGTTATTCATCAGTATATGGTGGTATGTTTATTTAATTTTTGTTTCTTTTTTGTTAATTATTGTGACTGGTGGAACTCTGGGGCCTGTTGTTAGCAAAGTATTTTTATTAATTTTTATTTTAGCTATCAGGTCTGTTCCATGTAATTCGCTTGTTTTTATTGAAAATTATATTACTTTTTTATTTTTTCTATTTAAATAAATTTTATTAGTGTATCCTATATCTTTATTAATCATTTATTTTTTAATTTACATTTCCTAAAAAGAAAGGCAAATGACAATGCGGTATCACTTTGAACGTTTTATTGTTTGTAAAAGCTCTAATATTTCTAGGTATGTGTTTTTTCCAGTCATTCATTAAAAGGTCTTTTTTATTTTTGTTTTTTTACAGATCATTTATAAATAATTATAAAATATTTTGTTTTTATTCAGTCTCAGCCAGCAATCAATGCTTATTTCATTGTAACTACCATCAAGAGAAATGGAATACTAAGTTAGTGCTAAATTACTAAAATAATCATTTATATTTCTTGTGTTGTGATTATGTTCACAAACAATAATTTAGAAATGAGGATATGAAAGTAAAATCTTACTTTCTTACTATAGAAAAATATCTATAAAATATGGTTCTTATTTTACATAGTAGGCTTACTGAGATATTGTTCTACTTCCTCAACTTTTTAATGTCCAGGAAGTACAATAATCGTTCAAGATATTTTTTCAATATCTCATTTGATTTATACATTTTACAGTTCAAATAACAATGTAAATAACAAACAATTTTTTTTATATATATAAAATCAATATTCTATCATTGTCATTGAACGTGACATCTAAGGGCTCTTCACTTTTTTAAGCCACTGAATTATTTTGGATGAATATAGTTAGTCTGAGTAATGAGGAATGCAAAGAGTTTAGATGGCTTTGGGGCAGAGATTTATATGTTCAATCTATATAAATAAATGTACAATAATGATAACAGGACTATCATATATCACGACCGAACAAAAAGCCAACTTTTGCAGGTGATTGTGTTATAATGTATATGAAATATAACAATGAAATATATATTATTATAATTCCTAATAATGTATATGAAATATGGCATCATTAATTTTGTATAACTATTTATTTTGCTAATAGCAATTATTTATAATTAGAGAACATATTTCATTCTGTAATTTTTAAGGATGTATTAAACACTTGTCTTAATACTTTGTTTTCTCCCCTAAAACTAAAGTACAAAGTTTGAATGAAAAATTAAGGGGTTATTTTTAATTCTGTGAGTACCAATCATGAAAGTACCAGTGGATCCTTAAAACTTCACCACAAATTTCACCTTTAAGTACTACTCCCAATAATTAATAAAATTGTTTGTTTTTCTTTTTTGATCAGATAAAAATATTTAATTTTTATTTTTTTTTTTTCCTATTTCTAATCAAGGTAGTTTGAGTATAAAAAAAGAGAAATATAGATTTCTTAAAAAGTTTTACTGTAAAAATGAAACAGATAGATTTGTTTTTTTCTCGAATAATAGAACTAAAAAACATATTTTTAGACTTATGTACTTTGAACCACCTCAACTTTCGGTAAACAGAACTGCTTGGTTTGGAACTAGTTGTTATTTGTGCAATCAGCTCTTTTTCAACATTTCGAGTCCGTTTGGGTCCCATATTTGTAATTTAAAATTTTATTTCAGTTATGTCTCTTTTTAAAAAAAATTATAAATGATGGATCAAATAACAGATGTAAATATGTAACATCTTGCTAAATGTTCTAAAATATAAAAATGTTTTTTACATTATATAAATACCACAATCTATCAAAACAACTCTTTAAACATTTTTCTTAATTAATACTATTGTCCTCATGATAGAAAAACACTTCCTGCTCTGATTCATGAACATTTAATTTTCTAAATAAATGTCTATAATATTTCACACAAGTATGCTCAAAATGAATTAAACTGTAAGTGTGCCTTGAAAAAATTACAGCTAATAAATAAATTCATTATTTCAAAAATTATTTGATAAAAAAAATACATTTAACTTATTTACTTTAAATCTGTTAAATAAAAAAAAAATTAATATTAAAGAAAATATTTTAGTGTGTGATTGTGAATTCGAAATACTATCTAAATCAGTATTCATATTGAGGATTTAATTTTGGAGGAATACCAAATATTTTTTTATTTAATAGCGGTATTTTGAGGAACAATAATGCTTTTAGAGGTAACATTTTTAAATTTTTCCTGGATAGGTCCTTACATGTAGTCGCTGAACTGACATGTAATTTTTTTATTTATTTGTCTGAGATCACTCATAGAAACAAATATTGACCTATGAAAAAAATTACTATTTTGGTGTCGCCTTGAGTCAGAAACCCCTCCCCTCCTTTGTTAAACCTATTAATAGTTTGAAAAGTACAATGGTCTCATTTTTTTATTTTGTTCTAATATTATGGTAGTGCTTGATCTAAGTTGCACAACATTGAGTGGTTCTCGGTTTATACCTATTGATGGTTATCCATCTGCAACCCATATTCCACCTCTGTTTTCTTTGTTCAACTCATTTCTGAGTACCCGAGTTAGCACATAAAGTTTTGCAATTATTTTTATTTTTTTCATCTATCCTTGGGCTCATATTAAATAGCATCTAGTTAATTGAATTGTTTCTGGGTTTTCCTTGCATACTTCTAAATTTATTCTGAAATATATTCTAAATAACTAAACAGGTTATGTCTGTTACCATGGTAGTCCCAAAACTGCAATAGTTACATTTTTAGTTAGAAAGAAAAATCCATATAAATTCAAAAAAATCCTCCAATATTTCCGCTTCTCACTTTAAGTATAGTTTCATACTAATATTCATTGAACCTGATAAATGTTAATGGATTTCTTTTAATATTTCAAAATTTAGATATATTTGGGGTCCTATAAGGACTCTATTCTATTCAAAGGAATAATAAAACTAGAATATCAAAATCAGAAATTGGTATAAAAAAAAGAATGTTATATAGAAAAAATATTCAATACAATTTTATAAGAAGCCTTTTTGAAATTTGAAGCCGCATTTGAATTTTTTTTTAAAATGAAGCCTATTCTTCTACCGAGAATTTCACGTGGACTATCGTGCCAAGAAAAATCTAGATGATGAAGTAAAATGGATTCAGTTGTTATAAATGAAGTCTGAATATGACTAAAAATTGGCTATTCAAGATCTCATTAGATACAATGGCATTTAGTTATTAATATTGATAAATGCTTCTCTTTATTAATTGATCAGGTTTCTAAAAATTAGAAACAAAAACGTATGGGTACTCAATTTTTCAGATTTATTCATTGTACAAAATAATTTCTGTTTTTAATTTAGCTCATGTTATATATTATACAGTATTTCTAGAGATCCCAAATTAATTATTTTCATTACTTTGGCTGTTAATATAATGTGATAATTAAAAAAATATATTTTATTCATTCAATTCACCATTTTTTCCCTAAAATTATCTATGTTTATTACAATAATTATAAATCAGTATTTCAACAAATCTTAGTTATGATTCATGAGGTTGAACGTGTCTGCTTGGATTTTGACAATATTTATAACTTATTTTCCTAACAAACATTAATCAAATATAAATTGACCTCTTTATCAAATATAAATTGTTTTCACTTAAAATAATTCTTAATTGCTCTTTGTTATCGCATCATTAACCAGTTATATACTGGCCAAATGGTTTCATTTTGATAAATTAGGTGTTATTAGTTGAAATTTCAACGTGGGAATTTGCTCATGTGAAGAATGTTAAAAAATACTTTGATAATTTGAAGCATTACATTTTAGTAGCATATTTACCTGATAAAAACATTTGATAAGTACATTGTATTGAGCAACATTCAAACCATATTGTGAAAGTATTGCAATACTTATGAAGTCACTGTTTAAAGGAAGTTACATTTATCAAGTTTGACAGCCATTTTGTTGAATTCAAATTATTAGTTATAGTATTTGGCATTACTTAAATAAAACTGTGATGTAGGTAAGAATTTTAGTTTTTCTGACTTTGGAAATTGTTACTTTTTATATTCAGTGTAACTTAAGTCATAGTTGAAATTTTTATTAGTTTTAGTTTGTTAATATTCATAATTATCGAAGCGCAGATAAAGAATAATAAATTGTTTATGTATATACATATGTTTAGTTAATGTACTAAAATACATTTTCTACTTAAATGTATAAGTATTTATGACTATAAGGGTTTTATGAACTGTAATTACCTGATTTTTA